TCCTCACGTTTAATTTCGCGACTTATTGCACGCATCCAGGGCTTACTCAATCGAGGCCTTATATCTAGTGGGGTCTGTCCGAGTTTAGCGCCATTCGGGAAACCCGATTTTTCTATTTGTACAGTCCGCGTCTCTACTCGCGTCTCATCTCCCTCCTAACCCATGGCCGCGTCGGTGGATTCTCCACGCACAGGGGCGTGACGTGCATCATCTATCTCCCCGGTTCCATCCCTTGCAGTGTCCATGTAGAATAAAATTACATATATTTCGTGTGCAACAAGGTCTAGTGTGTTGCTTGTGTGCGGACCGTTGGTAAATTGATTAGTGGAGTGCCAGGAAATCCGCTGGCGAGGGCATTTGGGAGTCAACCGGAGGAGCTCCAGTATCGGTTGGGCTAGGGAGGTCCTGTATGTGTTGTGTATAATCGCTATCGTTTGGACCGTGGGATAATTCGGGGAGGATGGAGTGCCAGGAAATCCACTGGCAAGGGCACTTAGGAGTCAACCGGAGAAGCTCCAGTATCGGTTAGGTCAGGGAGGTCCTGTGTGTATTGTGTGTAATCGCTATTATTTGGACCGTGGGATAATTTGGGGAGGATGGAGTGCCAGGAAATCCACTGGCAAGGGCACTTAGGAGTCAACCGGAGAAGCTCCAGTATCGGCTAGGCTAGGGAGGTCCGGTGTGTGTTGTGTGTAATCGCTATTGTTGGACCGTGGGATAATTTGGGGAGGATGGAGTGCCAGGAAATCCACTGGCAAGGGCACTTAGGAGTCAACCGGAGAAGCTCCAGTATCGGTTAGGCTAGGGAGGTCCTGTGTATGTTGTGTGTAATCGCTATTGTTTGGACCGTGGGATAATTTGGGGAGGATGGAGTGCCAGGAAATCCACTGGCAAGGGCACTTAGGAGTCAACCGGAGAAGCTCCAGTATCGGTTAGGCTAGGGAGGTCGTGTGTGTGTTGTGTGTAATCGCTATTGTTTGGACCGTGGGATAATTTGGGGAGGATGGAGTGCCAGGAAATCCACTGGCAAGGGCACTTAGGAGTCAACCGGAGAAGCTCCAGTATCGGTTAGGTCAGGGAGGTCCTGTGTGTATTGTGTGTAATCGCTATTGTTTGGACTGTGGGATAATTTGGGGAGGATGGAGTGCCAGGAAATCCACTGGCAAGGGCACTTAGGAGTCAACCGGAGAAGCTCCAGTATCGGTTAGGCTAGGGAGGTCCTGTGTATGTTGTGTGTAATCGCTATTGTTTGGACCGTGGGATAATTTGGGGAGGATGGAGTGCCAGGAAATCCACTGGCAAGGGCACTTAGGAGTCAACCGGAGAAGCTCCAGTATCGGCTAGGCTAGGGAGGTCCTGTGTGTGTTCTGTGCTCCCCGTATAATCCCTGTGTGCACTGTGTAAAATCAAACAGATAAAGAAAACTGATCGTTGTAAATTGCTCTGGCCAGACACCTTGGAAATGACCTCTTTCCCGACTGTGGGTTGGCATATGGCCTTTTATGCTCCATCCTCCGATCCCTGCCCTTCAGCACTATACTCACACTCGTATTTCAATATTTACAAGTCCCATTTATTTACATACTCCGACGCAACACCTTAAATTCCCTTACACGTCAAATTTAAAAGAAACATTCTGGGCCCAGGCCGCCCATCAACTGAGCCCCACAAGCCGCGCGGTGCGGTACACAGTCGCCCGTCCCTTTCCAGACTCCCCACGGTGTATAATCCCCTCCGTCCGCCTTAATCACCACGGGGCGCCGGACGAGGGTCCACGTCGGCACGCGTCTCGCGCCACGCGCACAGTTACATAGTTTACCGAAATCGAATTGTGAACTTAAGCTACCTAGACTGAAAGTCCCAAGAATAAATTGAACTACCTAAACTGAATGGCCTAAAATATTGCAGACGACACCTAAAAAGGGGAATACAATGTGGCTCACATAGCAGTAACGAGGGGGGGGGGTTACTTGAAGGATTTTAGGGACTAGGTGCGCACCCGTGTTCACCGCGTGACCTTACTTGAGATGGAGTCGCTGACATGATGGTCGTGTCCGTCCAGCGCCCGGCCCGGCGGCCAGAGCCGCCGCCGACGCCGTGATGCCAGCCGCTGGTGTCTCGTGGGCTGTCCGCGATGTCAGACGAGAGACGTGGGCCGAGAGTGCCACCGGCGCGGGATGCGTCGTCCGAGAGAGAGCCAGAAAGAGCGTTCCAGTTCCGTTTCATCAACTTATACTTTTGATGACGTCATACTTCAGAGGGCCGGGCAGCATCTCCTTGTCCAATCTTTGTCCTCCATTCTCAGAAAGTGCGTTTGGCTCCGCCTTCAAACGTTCGTGATTTGCTGAAGTTCGGCACCCCCGGCCATGCAGTCGCACCCTTTCACGTAGCGATCGGGTGGAATTCGCCGCCGGCGCTCACGGCGCCTGAGGTGCCAGGTGGCGGGCCTGGCCCTCCGCTCCCCCTTGTTTTGAAGTCAGCTCCGGCCAGATGTCCTATATTTTGTCGTTGGCGACCGAGTTCCATTTCATCCTGTTTTCGTACAAACCGGGTCGGTTCCCGCTCCCCTTTCTTGTTTTGGTTCAAATCAGGGCCGGTCTGCACTCCCCTCTCCTTGTTCTCTGGCGGGGTGCCGAGCGTGGGACAGAGTCTTGTTTTCCAAAGGCTAAACTGATTAATGGCTCGAGGCTGGCAGAATGGCGCGTTTCGGTAGGTATGCTATTTGTTGGCTTCAGATCCGGGTTCTCATGAAGTGGGGTGGTCATCTATAGAGGACCCCTGTTTGTCAGAGCCTACTGCGCCGTCTGTGTGGACGCCAGCTGGGACGGAGAGAGGGTATCACAGCCGATTTAGCCGGCTGACCGTGTCTGTGCGGCGCTCGCAGATGGCCGTGTTTCAGCTTGTGGCACAGCTTGCAGTTCAGCATGAAAGATGAAAAAAATGTAACGCATCTGCGTTACATATAAGATGGGATAATTTGGGGTATCCTTTTGAATCTTTTCTTATATGAAGGCAGAATCTTTTCAAATCCTCTGAAATATTCGCTCGATTATTGTCGAAGCCCACATTTTGTTGAAATGGCTCATTGGAAATAAATTACAAGGTCGTAACTTGAGACGGCGCACTCGAATTCCTCTGTCCTCCCGCGCTTATCGCCGAGAGGAGTGGATTCAATTTCCAAGTCATCCCTTTGGTGACGCCCTGCAGATCCACTTTCAGCCAGCACGTTCTCTGGGCTGTAGAACAGAGCAGTTTAATATCTCGCCGCATACTTCTCTGGAATTGCATAGCGAATAGCGATCATAACGTGCATTCCATTTAGCATGTTTCTGATAAATGAAGTGCATACAAAATCGACATCACTGGATGCAAGTATGCTGCGAGAAACCATTCCCAGATACAGCGATCTTACACAAAATCTTCTCAAGGCATCACGAGGTAATGTATCATCGGTAGGTATGTATTGCATGCAGTTATCCTATGCAATGCGTATACAAGCATAAGTATTAAGTAAGGCCACTTTTCCATGGAGTGACTTGTATATTTTTGTATATATTCACGTCGATATTTAACTATTCAGCATTGCGCAATACCAAAGCATCATGCCCCACGAGGCCAGCAGTCCTTCCATTACGTTTCTGGGCCCGTTGTGCATCCACATACATTGCATTGATTTTAGGCAGTCTGTAGTCTCGGTGTATCATGTTAAGCTGAAGTGTTTGCGACCAAATTGGATAGTGTTCCGAGCCAAACATGTTGATCTGACGTGCAGCTGCTATCGTATTTTGAGAACGATCAGTAGAATCGCCGAAGTGGAAGGCTGACTAGAGCTTGTTTCTACCTAAGCAAATCAGATACATGAAATGCCCTTGTTCGCATTTTCCCAAGGTTGGATAGGCAGCTTCTTAATGCGCCAGAAAAGAACAGTGTCTTATTAGTTTTGCTATGTTTTCACGACTTTCACGATTTATCACAAATCAAAAAAGGGACAGAAACTTGATGTCATACTCGTAAACGTTTGGTAAAATAAGTATCAAAGCAGATATTGAAATCGTTCACGTACACCCATGATTTGTTCTTTCCAGAGCTGCAAATGCATACCCCTCAACGTTCCATACATCATTCGTCACCTCCTGCAGTATTATCACGACGTTGTCGGTATCATTTGACGCAACATCTTCCCGTTTCGCTGTCGACACGTCTGTCCATCTTTCGGCACCATTCGGCGGCGGACATTTGGTGTCGTTTCCGGTTTCTGTGTCGGCTCGACTCATCGATCGGTATCGCCGTTTCCGGTCGACGGCTCGGCTCGGGAGGTGTTCCGTCCGGCTGGATGGGTCGACTCGTCTGTCACCACCGCTGGCCACGCCCCCCCCCCCCCGACCACGCCCCCCCCCCCCCGACCACGCCCCCTCGGCGCTGATAGACGACGCCAACGGGCGCTAACGAGCGTCTCGGTCGATAGTAAACCGAATACAAATAGTGCCAGCGGCAAACAAAAACGACATCCATCATTGGCGGCTGTCATCGGGTTGCCAGGCCACCTCGGCAGAGGAGTCGACTGGCCTGGTGGTCCCCGAGAGGGCTCGAGCGCTGAAGAGATATCGACTATTCGAGGAAGCCCAGAATGGGCTCGACTCGGGAACCAATGTGACACAGCTGTTCATAGGTCAGTTGACGGCGTTGGTCAGTTCATAGGTCAGTTTAGGCGTTGTAATGTTTATGCTGAAAAAATCAACGATATGGATTTTGGTTGAATCTTGCAAAATACAAAATGTTCATGTTGATGTTGATACAAAATGGATGAATGCAGATTTTGCTTGATTTCTGTCTTCCTTTTTATCTGTGTCTCTGTCACTTTCCGTCGTAATGCCCACTTGTTTGTGGTTGTCGGGTGAAGCGAAAAATAAACACAAAATAAGTAAATAACCCAATTATTCAGTGACACATTAAGCGATCGAGAGAATCGACGTGAGCATTCTGCCCCACGATACAGTCTGTCAACCATCAATAGATGTATTACATTGCAAGAACAACACGTTGATAAAATAGTTATCCACCGTCCGATACGATCATCACATTAGATATGGGGAACAAGATCAACACTCTCTCTGTGCGCGGTCGATTTCACGTCGCTCTCAACCGGGAGGGCAATACCGATCGACAAACAACGCGTTCATTCTGAGATCATAGTGGCGATCTGGTGGGACTGGTCGGTAGCTCCACCTCTCGCCTTCGGTATCAGGCACAACAGTGAGCCAGGAATGCAGGATTCAACGTATAACTCTCGACCATGTGACGCCAGAGATCGGTCGGCTGGGCGAGGGAGCTGCTGGACCGCATCTCCCTCCCTCCCTCTATCGTCGCTGGCCCGTCGCCCGATCGACAACAGCCCAAGGCCGCTGTCAGGGCCGAGGTCAGGTGCCGTTGGCGGCTGACCGCCCTCTGCGTTCACGCCTCTCGGGGGTCGCGTCTCGTGGCTGCAGGTCGTGCCTCTCCATGACGTTGTAGAGACGCTCTAGGTTGACCTCAGTCACGTGATCGCCGGGACTGAGACGCAGCGCGGTCAGGTAGGCGGCCTCTGCCTCCCGCAGCTGGCCGGTTAGGTGCAGAATGGCGCCCAGGTTACGGTGGCTTTGCACGTCCTGAGGACAGAGATGCGGTGTCAGACAGTTTGTTTTACAAAGAGCCTGATGAAGCGCGGGTAGTGACAGACTGACACTGCCAGCGTGTCAAACTTGCAGATCGATTGGTGGACAAAGATTAGGTCATTGGATGTGGACATTGAGTGAGTGCACGACTAGCAATTAATTGCTAATTAGTGACAATCAATTAGTGGCATTGAGTAGCTAACGACTTCGAACGACTTTAAAACTCTTCGGACATCTATTCATTTATTCAAATTATTGTATTTGATTTAGAAAAAACGAACAAAAAAATATATTTCAGAAGACATAAAAAGTCGATGTAAATTGAAATGATTTTGGTCAGACCACATACCAGCCCTCTCAGATCTTTCGCGCCCCGCGGGCGCACATACCTCGGGTCGGATGTGCGCCGCACGCCGGTAGAAGTCCTCGGCCTGCTGGTAGCGTCCCAACTCGCGGTACACGTTAGCCAGGTTGAAGGTCAGGTCATACTCGCTGGGCGCCAGCTCAGTGCCGCGCACATACACAGCAGCTGCCTCACGCAGCCGGCCCGTCTCATACAGGAACTGGCCTGAAATTGCAGGGAAGCAAAGTTAGAGCCTAGATGAGTCCATTGGAGAGGAGATGGTGCTGGGAAGAGGTGAATACAAACACAAAGCAGTCACTGCCAACCGTAGTTAGAAACAGATTAAGCAGCTCATTGAAAACCATGCTATCAGTGACGTCAAATTATCGTTATAAGAACCGTAGGAATTAACAATATCATTTTTTGCCACCTCTTACATTTTTAAATATGTTGCAATAGTTTGTGCAAACAAACTCACCGTAATGAAGGTAGACAACATAGTTGTTCGGCGCCGTTGTCTGTGCTCGGTGAAACCAGCCCTCTGCCTCGTCTACGCGAGTTTTCTGAAACAAGATCGGAAGGTAAAATAGAAAAAAAAAACGAACTCTGGTAACAGAGCTAAGAGATAGTCGGGCTAGAACACTCCTCAATCAGATGATATTTACCAGCGATGTGTCTCTGCACGTTTCAACACATGCATAAAGCGTTTAGCTACATTGCACTGTGTGGTACAGATGCATATTGCATATTCACATTATTCAACTCAGCTCGCGAGAGACGCGGGGTACATTATCTTGTCACATGCAGTATGCAAAGACCATCAGAAACACACTCCCAGCGGCAAGAAGCGCTTCAGGAGCTGTGTCATCTTTGTCACACTGTGTTTCAAAGGGCTGCTTTGGGAACACCGTAGGGATGTTTGATGTTATTTCGTTGGATAGAAGCAACAATGGCGTGCACGAAGTTGAGTAATATTGCGAGAACGCAAACACAGCAACGCGTTCATTATAAGATAAGGAAAAGATTAAATTTACTATCGCAATACGCCCAATAGTCGTACGTAGTCTGTAAGCCACTTACATTTTTGGCGAGCATTTTTCCGTAGAACAGGTGGGCGTGCACCATGGCGGGCTGAATTTCCAGCGCCTTCTTGAACCAGCTCTCAGCTTCCTCGTAGTTGGCCATGCGGTACTGAGCCTCTCCGATCAGGTTATAGATGGTCTGAAAGCGAAGTCATGTCGTCCAACGTAAATAGCGGCACCACTCTCCGGGCGGCGCCGCCCCCGCCCCCGCCCCCGCCCAGACCGCCCGCCGGCCGGACACTGCATATGCGGCTCACCCCCGGCTTCCACGGCTAGCGTCTGCACGGCGTTTACCGAACATCACATCACACTTAGCGCAGATGGAACCCTGAACCCGTAGATCAGCGAGGCTCGGTCTCAGACGAGTGAAAGGTCAGACGGCGGAGTTCTGGGAGAATGGAAAGTGCTAAATTGTGCCGACCTGGCTTGCAGACCCAGTACGCTGATGAATAAGATAAGCGGATGGATAAGATAAGCGAAAAATGTATGAACAGATGCGAAATAAATGAACATCTATCCACGTAACTGTAGCTACGTGACTTACAAAGCCTACTTCATCCTCAAGTGTTTGTTTTGCACCGCTCGACAGTAACACAACTGAGCAGCCCAAAGTTCGGACATTACAAAGTTGTTCAGGACGCGGCTGTCGTGTCGAGGCTGGCGCCGGTAACAAAGCGGTGACATGTGTCAACGGTCGGTGACATCGTTATCGCCGGCTCTAACGTGATTTGTGACACATCGGCCGGCCATATTGGTCTGATCCGTGAGACAGATGGGTTCTGCGCTAGCAACAGTTGTCAATATTGACGTCATCATCGTCACCGCCTGTAGTGCCACTGCCACCGCCACTGCCACCGCGACTATCGCCCGCGTTTAAACTGTTACCACCGGCAGCTCCACCGTCCCCGCCTCCGCCACCGCGGCCGGTTGAGACGGATGGGTTTTGTTGGGGAGCGGAGCGGTCGGAGCGCCGAGGCCGCTCCCCTCCCTTCCTCTTTCCGTCGCAGCTGTTGCTCTGCCGGCGGCAGCCGACTGATCGCTCAATAAGCCGGATCGCCAGATATGCAGCCCGGTTGAGACAACCGCGCGGCCATCGCGAAAGGAACTTCAGAAAACCGACTCCTCACCAGAAAGGAATGTTTCTTTCTTCCGTGAGCAGTAAGAGGCTTGCTCTATTTATTGAGAGCTTTTATTGTAAATATCCGTTGGAAATATCTCAGCTAAAAAGCTTTTAACGGTGTACTCCTTTATGGGGCGCCTTAGGGCATACTATGCATTATGCAAGTCCGCTTGCTCACTTCTCATTACCAATTTCCCGGATTTTTTTTTTTCACAGCAGTGCTAAAATGCATGCTATTCAGCCGATGTAATAAGAAAACATTTTTTTTTTTATTAAACCTGAGACAGTCCATACTCACCTCTTTGTTGTAGCCTTCGGGAGCCAGTCCGAGTGCCAGGAGGTACTGTTTGAGGGCCAGGGGTGGGTCCTTGTCCTCCTCCGCGTACAGCCGACCGAGCTCCACCAAACAGCCGACCTTGGCCGAGGCGTGTGACCGGGGGTCACGTATTCGCGACCCGTGCAGGTCACGGCAGGCGAGCAGCACTTGTCGAGCCAGCACAGACTGACCTAGCTTCAGATGGGCGTGAGCCAAATTGAGGTAGGCTTCTGAAAAGGTGAAATGTGCCTAGTGTTACTTCCGTTCATATTCTGTTGAGGAATGAAATATTTGTTTATGTATCTTATCGTTATGAGAAGCTCGCATTGCAATGTCATGTCTTCACAGTAGCGATCATATCAAATGTACCCAGCAGGATTTATAACCGATTTAGATTTTTACTAGCATGAGCAAAAAATACTTCAACTTACGAGCAAATTGTCGTCGATATCCGACCGCATCTTGGTAGCAGGTTGCTGACTGACGGTACTTCCCTTGCGAGTATAAAAGGTTTCCTCTGCAAACAAAACAAAACATCAGTGAGTATCGACCGCAATTACTTTGCACCGCTGCACCAAGATGGCATTAGGAGACCCTCGCGAGCACAGTACCGTTTTTGCCGTGTACTTCTAGCCCACACCGCGCGCATCCGTAATGTAATTTTGGCCAAATGAGCGCGGGACTGAGTCATTTCACGTGTGTGAGTGTCATTTCGGTCCGTTGACGGAACAGCGCCGAGCACGGTGAGATGAGTCCCCCGGGACGGGGCGCGCGGCGCTGTGACACTAATCGAATGCCAGCCCCGGACGGGTTATACACAGCGGGGGAGCGTACACAAGCGCGGCTCAACAGCGCGCCGACACGGTCGGCTGCAAACTGTATTAGCTGATGTTAAAACAGCCGACGGTGTTGTTAGGGACGTGCTGGTGGAGCGGAGCAGCGCCAGCGCGGCTCGGTAGGCTGCTCGCGGTGATGCCTGGGAGGTATACTGTGCCGCGCGGCACCGGTGGTTAGCGGCACAGTCTACCAGTACAGGTGATATGCTCCGGCTGAATGGATTTCACAGGGCGCCGCGTCGGTTGAACAATTTCTGATGTTTATTTGAAATTCTACCTCTACTCTTTAGAAATGAGAATATTGCAAGTTAATTACTGTAATAAACCAAAAAACGTAACGTGAGTTCTCTGCACTTAAATGTATTTTTGTCTGTACATGACTGTGAGGTTCCGTGTATTTTGTGAGGCCGTAATGTCACTGACATTTTACATAGCATTCATGTTAGAAAATCTATGTGACGTGCCGAAAACAAATTACGGATTCCATTGAGCTAATGACAGGTGCTTAAGACATATTGATTTTGCAGCTTGTTTATGTGCGCAATGTCTTTAGCTACGTCTCTGTCCCAAATGAGTGTTCTGCAGCAGAGTCTAAGTGAGTTGTCGAATTGCTGAATAGCCGGCAAACAGGTCAGTCGAGTCAGCAGAGCCGACTCCCACGTAATGGCCGAGCCGGTCCCCGGATACCGTAATCCTATTACGGCTTCCGACTGTCCCTGTTTACCTGCTGACTTCGCAGTGGATGCCACTCACAGAAGTGGCTCCCTCCTGTGTATTGCGAGGCCGGACTCTCCCTCCCCCGCCCATCCCGCCCTCTCTCTCTCTCTCTCTCTCTCTCTCTCTCTCTCTCTCTCTCTCTCTCTCTCTCTCTCTCTCTCTCTCTCACTGTCCTCTCCTTTCTTCCCTCTCACGTGCTCTCTGTCTCCCTCCCTCCCTCCCTCTCTCTCTTTCACTTCCTCCCTCCCTTCTCGCTCTCGCTCTCTCTCTCTCTCTCTCTCACCCGCTCTGTCTCCCTCTCTCTCTCTCTCTCTCCCTCTCTCTCTCCCTCCTCCCTCCCTCCCTTCCAATCGTCCCGCTCTGGCTCTCTCGCCGCCCGCCCAATCGGCGCAGCACCGTCGGTAACTCACAGGTTATAGTGGACGTCTGCCATGTTCCCTCGGACCGAGAGCGCCGCCCGGTAAGCCCGCTCCGCCTGCTCCAGACGACCCTGGCTGGCCAGAATGGTGGCCAGGTTACCCAGCGCTGCAACGAACAATGCAGTCAAAGGAGAGCCGTTCAAAGAGAGACGCGGCGCGGCAGCCGGCGACTGCAGGGAATCAGGGAAAACGCTAACCCGAGTCGGCTTCCGCGTCATAAAAGCACAGTGGGGTTCCATACTCTGCGGGGCGGGCTTAGCTCGAGAGAAGGGCGCTCGGTACGGTTTCGTTTCGCTTCTGACACTAAAATGTCAAAGCGTTGCTGTTCATCCAGGCAACTTCATCTCAAGTTGATCCTAAAGATTTCGTTCGTCTTTGGTTATGGCTGGACGGCACGCCCAGCGTTTAGCCTTTAGTTTCCAAACCGTTGAGAACAACTCGGCAGTTTGTTCCGAAGAAAGGGTGGCATTCTTTGAAATCGATGTGCTTAGCAAAGGCAATGTAATTGCCTACAAGGGAACGAGCCACTATCATCTGTTAAATGACAATGAAACAATATTTATAATCAAATCCCACTCCATGTAAAGCGCACCCGTTCACTCGATAATTTCACTCACATTTGGCCGGTGAGTGTCGGATGCCAGCGGTGTAGAGGGCCCTGTCGTCTCGCCAGTCCTGGTTTCTGACCACAGTTCGCGCAGCCAGCACGGCCAGAAGCAGCACACTGAGGGTGGGCCCTATCCGGCGCCAGCGGGACTCCGCCAGAGCCAGTCCGGCACCCACCAGCAGACAGAACCCCACCGACGGGGCGTACAGGGCCCGCTCCGCCACCAGAAAGCCCACGTAGAAGAACAGATTGCTGGCAGGAAGAAACATGAGCACGGCGAAACTGAGCGCGAACAGCAGAGACGCTCGGCCCGGGCCGTCCGCGCCCGTGTCTGCCGCTCTCTTCACGGTGTTGTTGTTGTGGTTGACGTTGATGCTAGCTGAGCTGGTGTCGGAAAAAGGATGACACGCTGCGTAAAACATGGCCGCCAGGCCAACATAAAACACGGCCGAGACGACGTTCCTGAGATCGCCCAACTGTGTGATGAGCGGCACGGCTGTCTCGGACCAGTCGTAGCTGAGCTGGCTGGGCAGCAGCAGCAGGCCCGCCGAGACCACCGGCAGGTGCAGCAGGGTCAGTGCCCGGCTCAGACGGCTGCCGCACGACGCCACCGGGTTATCGGCGGCCGAGAACCAGGGCAGCCGGCCGCGCAGCAGTGACAGGCGCGCGGCCAGCAGCGCGCAGCATGCCAGCGCCACCAGCGCGCAGCACTGGCGCAGCCGCTGCAGACGCTTGTCCTGAAACGGAACAGGCGTTTGGAGCGTGAACTCCGGGTAATCTGCAGTTTGAGCCGCTTGGGTTAGCGAAACGCTAGTCTTTGGTGATACCTTTACTATGTTACTTATATATGTTACTTTACTATGTTACTTATGATACCTATTCAGTTTTCATAAAATGTAGTTATCATTGGCCGTTTTCACGACGGAATAGCAGGCATCTATTTAATCCCCATTTGATCCTTTGGTTCCTCAGGAATTTTAGTAGTTCTTTTTAGTAGGTTCCCCAGCTTTCGAATGAATGGTGCGTTAGTTTGCTATTTTTCTATTAAATATCACATCGATTTACTTTATCTAAGGATTTATCACTAATATCAACATAAAGCGTAAGCACAATTATAAAATTATGAAATTATTAAATACTAGTACAATAGTTAAAAAAAGATACTGAGTTGCCAGGCTTCAAAGAATATATTCATTTATGGCGCACGACAGACATTTAGAAAGCAGCGCCCTGTTTTATTGCACGCTGCTAGACGCTTCCATTGGGTTTTGCAGGCCGAAGTCATTGGTCGTTACACGTATGATGTCACGCGACTTGTGGCCTGTCACGGCTCTTTAATGATCTCCACTAAATGAATGCAACAATGGCCTTTTAAGTTGATCTCTGTGGCCATCTGTCTATGGAGCGACCAATATGAAAGTTGGGTGAATTTACCGGGGTTACATGACTATGAGCAAGCAAATGTGTATCAGGAATGGATTTAGGTGGAGAATTGCGCTGGACCATGAGTGCTCGAACGCTCCCAATTCCACGCCGGTTTGGCTTTGGAGCCGAGACAGACGATGCGGGTCAAGGTCACCGCTGGGGTAACGGTGGATTGGCTGCACCCGAGCACCCGTAACGCGGCACAATTCTCCATCTATGGATTTTCCTATTCGCTCAGCATTGTGATAGGCGTTCGTAATAGCATTTACTCTGCTCATGTACCTATCCCCGGTTATTTAAAAGAAGTTTTTGTGGGGGAATATCACGGCTTTAGGTACTCGGTGGCCCTATTCACGACTTTCAAAGAATGCTCCGATAACTAAACACCGCACAGACCTACTGCATTAGTGAATCTGACAGAAGGTCTGTGGAATTACATCCCCCCTCACCACACCCCTAAAAACTCATCCAGTGTCCAAAACCACTTTTATCGACTCGCCAAAAAAAAAAAAACGCACACACACACACACACACACACACACACACACACACATACACACACAAAGCATGGGGCATGTCAGCTCTCAGTTCATTTATCATTGTCTTTACCATGGTTCAATTGCATTGCGCGATTTAAAGCACGTGAGTGCCTATATAGTATATATGTGGAAAATAATATCTACAGCAAAACATCCAAAATTACAAAGGCTACAATGCTTAAAAAGTAGGTTCATCAAGGAAGCCCATTTTTACTTGCGTTGTGTTGCCAACCATGCGATTCCAACGCGGGCTATTCGCAACGTCTGTTAAGGCACGTTAACAACTGACAAGCCGCCACCGCTGCCACTTATTCATAGATGGTTGATATCGCAGCTTGGGCGTCAGCAGCGCGGCCCACAACGCGTCGGCGCCAGCGCACGCAGCTGTTGGCACTCGGCAGCCGGTGTTGAGACACGGCCGGCCGGCCCCATGAAGGAGAAGCTCTTGGTGCAAAGCTTTGTGATCGCCTCATAGCCGCCTTGGATGTCATCTTTCTTGGCAGATCCATCCGTTCAGATGGTACGGTGCAGTCTGGATAAAGGACGAAGTCCAACGCCGCTAACCCCGCGACCGCCACCCCACAACGTGGCCGCAGACCGAACGGGCGTGAGGGCCGTAAGGGCCACCCCGCCATCCGGTAGATGGCTGAGCAGCCGGGCGCAGCGGCGCCTGGGCGGCGGCCGCGCTGAGATGAAGTCCCAAACCGCCATGTCGCCATCACCGCCATCACCATTGCTGCAGCTGTTCCCAACCGCCTCAATCGCCGCCGTTTTGCCAGCAGTCGCGCCGCGGAATGGCAGAAGCTCTAGAGTAGCCTCCAGCGCCCCTCTCCGCACGTGTGCAGGTGCACTGCGGCCGCCGGGTCCGACGTCCAGGCAGAACATGATATTTCCATGCTGCTCCGACGGTGGGCTGGTCTTGTTTGGGCGTTCCTCCACTGTGACGTCGGTCACGCCTGCCCCGGCCAGGGCGCAGAGGCCGACGTGTCACCATCCGGTTGCAGTCCTCAGTCGGGTCGCAACGTGTGCCTCTTCCGCAGCGTGGAGCGCGCTCCCGCTGGGCAGCGATACAGCCAAAAGTAGCATAGCATGCGGGCGGCCAGCGCTGCGCCGGACAGCGGACCCATGCCGGGGGTATGCCGGTCTCGGCCATTAGCGGGGTCGTCGGGGCCGAGGCTGTACATACAGCTGGTGACCGCGTGAGCCGCCAATCGAAGCTCACGGCTTATAAGCTCGACGCGGGCATCACACGCCGTCCCGATGGGAGCTCCACGACGCCGCCGCGAACTCCAGCGCGGCTCGCAGCGCGAAGACCAGTACGGACGGCCGGGGCAAACGGCGTGCGGGAGTCGCAGGCGACGTTCTGCGGACAGAAAGGGTTGGGCATAAGCTGGTCGGCAGGACACTCTTGAGCCGAGCCTTTGATGTAATTACAGATGATCCAGAAGCATGCACAAAAATTCATGACACACTATTCTCATTTATGTATTTGCTACATATGATATGATATACCAGCTCATGATCAGTGACGCATTCTGGGCAATATGTTCTAAAGTGAAGTAACTGAAGTTACAGCTTAAAAGCTTTAAAAAACAGCTTAAAAAAAACACACACACACACATTCGATAGCTTATGAGAATAACATGCCTTGTGTGCTTAATGCAGGAAAATATTTTTTTCACTTTTTTAGAAACAGCAAAAGAGTTGTCAACAAGCCATGTCAACTATCTAAACAATTTTTATGGAAACTGCTCTAGCTAGCTTAAAGTTCCACAACGTTTCCGGAGCACCGTACCCAAACTCAGTTCATGTTACAAGAAAAAACAGTAATAATGCCTCCTAATTTTGAATGAAATATAGGTATGAGTAATTTGATTTGGAAAGCAACAAATTTCCGCACATCATTTTAGCAAAATTACTATTTTCTTCAACCATCAAGTTACACAAAACTATAGTAAACTTTATGATCTAGTTTACACAAAACCAAAGCCCCGATTTTAACAAATGTAGATAAAATTTAAACAATTTTAAAAAATGTATCGTGGAGAAAATGAAAAGTGTAGATTTGTCAAGCCGGGATATTTCAATTTCACGGATTAGGCACTTAAAGAAATATCTTCACCTTTCTTTGAGCCACCAGCCTTCACCCAAGTTTTACACGAATGTAGTGAAGCAGACAATGTGGCAACTCAAAATTGTGATGGTTTGAGATAATTATGACGGTAAAAGAAAAAGCAACACAAGGTTCCTTACCCTCGTTTTTTTTTTTCACATGGGTTCAGATGAGGCTTCAACTGTTGCCGACCTGAGGAGCTATAGGGACTTGAGCTTTCCAAAACTCAATTTCTAAGGGCACTGAGCAGTGTTTGGCTTTCACACGAATGCGATAGTAAGTTATATGAAGTTGACAAAGCCAGTGGCGGATCTACGTTGGGGCAAAATGGGCAATTGCCCCCCCTAAACGGAAAACCTCTGGGCAAACATATCTTTTTGCCCCCCCCCTAAAAAACTACAACTTGAATACTAAAAATATGGTGTTTGAAAAGAAAATGTGAAATAAATGGAGGACTAGAAGGTTGTCATATTCGTGATATTAAGTTGTGAGCTGATAAAAAGTCCTCCGCCCCATGAATGTCAGTCCATCATCCATCAGCAGTGCTACTACTGCTACTGCTACAAAAAATAACGCGATTTATTGAAACCTTGAACCAAGTAAACAAACCGTCAACAGCAGACCGCCAGACGCCAGTGGGGTCAGGGGTCACCACACTGGTGAGCGGTTGGACAGTGGTGGGTTTGCATGGGTATATAAGAAGTGTTTGCATTTGTAGCATAGCCCGCGCCTCACTGGGGGAGGGGGGGGGGGCTATTTAAAGCCTCCTCTCGTTTTTCTACGATATCTTCGAAACCACTGGATGCATTAACACAAAAATTTCAGTACCCTCGACTGCATCAATTTGACGCCTTGTGTTCAAATAAAAACTTCGCAGCTACAATAGATCGGCCGAATCACAGTGTATGGCCGAATAAGACGTCAGAATGGCGTCATGCTCGACCGATTCTGATGTAAAACATTGAACTACGACTACCGCTTTCAAGAGATCAGTTTTAACCCTCGCCCGCACATGGGGCCGGGGGGGGGGGGGGTGGTTGCCACCCCCATCCCCCAGGTAGTTTTTTCTACTCTTCACTGAACATTTTTAGATCTAGAAGCTTGATTTTTCGTATAGCTGCTCCTCTATCCTTTCTTTATGTCCACTGAAAATTTCAAGTTTTGTGGTTTTTGGTTTCGGAGATATGACCTTGTTTTTCAGGTCATGTCATGACCCAACTGACCAATTCTCAACATCTCTTGCGTTGGCTATGGGCCTTGTGAGCTTTTGACGCCTTGATTTAAGCCTTTTTTGCCAGTCTTGCCTCCCATCTATCCTCTTGTGTCCCGCCAATTCGCCCATGAATGGAGAGCAACGAAACTTTTTTGGCTGAGAGCTTTGGTGCCAATAATTATGACCAGATTGGTGACATTTCAGCCGTGAAGGTCATCGCGCATGCGCAGTGACATGTATACTGGGATATACAAAAATACTCAAAGCCTATAAAATCTGACTGAAATGCAACCCATGAAAACTTCCATACAAATACCAAAGTGTATTTTTTCGTTTGTTTAGGGCGTAAAATGGCTAATAGTATTGACACGTTTAATTATCAACACCACTCGCCCTTAACTTCAGCTTCTTCTGCCCCTTGTCCACAGCTCTTAGGTCTTTAGTTGCCATTTCCTTTGAAGATATAGAACTTGTAGCACCTGTTGCGAATCGATAAACAGTAGAGGAAGACCTTGCAGCATTATCTGAAGCGACATCTCTAAAAGAATCGCCGTATGGTGTGTTTTAGAGAGGTGCTTGCCTATGTCATTGTGCTTAGGGGTCGGATTCTAATTCATCGGGCGATTTATCAAACTTTGAGTGAGGATCTCACTACACTGAAAACAAAATGACACAAAAAACGACTAAAAACGCACAGGCAGAGCGTGTTAACTAGGCTTTCTTGTGTACCCTGCATCATGCATTTTTTGACCCGTCGCAGACGTGTCAATTTACAAATGTGTTAACCCAGTCGTGTTGTGTCCTTAAACACAATATCATTGTGTCTTCAACACATAAGGCTTGTGTGAATACATTTGCAGAATACAAGGTAAATGTGTTACTAAATTTAACACAAATCGCAAGTGAAAGAAGGAAACACGTGGTATTTATGTAGTTTGTTGCCGGGGCGCAGTTGAAGGGACTTTGGCTTTGGCTGGACAGGCTGATTGCCAAAGCCGGGCCCCGAGTGGAATCGGGCGCATGGGTGCGGTCAGGGCTGAGCACCCGGCCGGCCGACCCATACGGTCAGAGCGCGGTCAGGGCTGAGCACGCGGCCGGCCGACCCATACAAGGCCGCCGACCCATACACGAGCTGGAGTTGCGCCCGGTCGGCCAGTTCAGAGCCGAAGGGTGAACGCGTCACGTGGACGGCTCAATCAGAGCACCAAGTGACGATGCCCCAAATTGGGGGACTATTGTACAATACAGTTGTCCAGACAGCCGGGATAAATTTTCGGCCACCGATTTTTCAAATATATCCTATATAGACCGAGGAGTTTCTTCCTCCAAGCAGACGTTAATTAGCTATGCTTCAGCTTGCACTTGATGTAATCAGCGCATATTGCTTTAGACAATTTATCATGTATCGACTCCCTCGGCTGTATTGTGCGTTTTGACCTTTCTCAAAACACTTTGGCAAATTTTTACAAAAACGCAGCATAAAAGTCGGTGCTCGAAAAACGCCCTCTGTTATCCCCATCTGAAGTTAAGGTTCAGAGGTCGCTCACTGGTGGATGGCACGGTGTATTTGTGTAAGGGTACACGTCTACCATATCCGACAACACATGATTTCGATACACTGATGCATTACATTCGTCCAGCGTGCTTGTCACGAGAAAAGTGTGTCATTATTCTGTTTTCTGTGTTATCAAACGTGTCGAAGGTCCCGTCAAGCGTGAAAATACACAGCCTTATTGTGTTTTGGGTGCGATTAACACATGACTGATGTGTTACCAGTACAGAACATGCCCTCACTGTGTCGATTTGTTTTCAGTGTAGGAGCGCAAGGTAGGGTGACCCGACAGGACCACTCACTATCTATATGTGCTCCGATCTAGAACCGAAGCAGGCAAGAGGCGCTTCATCAGCCGTGGTCCGGTTCTTTACAACCGCCTGTCACCTGATTTGCTCGGGCTCCCGGTGCCTGTTTTTAAGCACCGCCTCAGGCGGCTGCTGACGGATCCAACCTGACTGAGTTGGGCTAACCATCTGGTGTGTATGTGTGCTGGTATTGTCTGTATCTATGTTACTTGTATTATCTTGACTATGATGTATGCGAGTGTGATTGTGATGCTTGTCTCTCTTTATCTTGACTTTGAAACCACCGTTTTAATTTTTGACGAGAGGATGTAATAGCCGCTTTTAGTGGATTTCCTTAATAGGGGAAGTTGGGGCAATGCCGGAGTTGGGGCAAAGCCGAAATTCGAGATATTTCGAAAACCGTAAGACATGGATGCCACCTGTCAGTGATGCTCTGAAGCTTAAGTGACTACAATTATCACATGTTTGTTACGAGTCGTCATTCGGAATACTTCGGCTGTGAGGGCGCCAAGAGCGTTTTCAAGGTACGCGTTCCTTGTACTACATGCGCCTTTGAAGCTGCATTTCTTACTCATTATGCTACCGTTTGTCTGGCCAATTCGGTCAAGTAATCTTCAGCACGTCTTTGCATAAGTGTGCTGCCTATTTGACATTTATACGGCACGTTGAAAAGTTATGGGCCTGCAAATGAAAGTATGGCTGGCTGGGGTAATGCCGAAAACGTGCAATTACGCACGTTAAAGCACGCTACGTGGACGTTACTGCTGTAGAATAGCAACGCGAATTTTTAGTCACACAAATTACACTTTCAACCGACACAACGGCCTGTTACCTATAAGAAATTATTTACCTGGCATTTTCTTATTATATCACACAATTATAACTTCCGGTGTGCACCAAGCATCCTCAAGCTCTTAAAACGCGTGTCAGCTTTAATAAATTCTGGATAAAGTTTGAGATAAAGTGGCAAAACATCAATGTCGGCATTCCCCGTAGATCATTTCTCCCATTTTCGGCTATCCCCGCAGTCCGGGGCAACGCCGAAAAAGTCACTTCTTTGATGTTTTTAGTTTGTGCGCTTAACGGTATGCGAATTCATCAAATGCGCCTGGTATGTTTGAAAGGCCAAAGACTGGCCTCTCGAATGACGCCAACAAGAATAGCTTATGTTGTCTACCTTGCGTGCTACGGGCGTCAGAAAAAAGTATTCGGCGTTCCCCCAACTTCCCCTACACGTCTGAGTCTGAGTCTGAGTCTGAGGTAGAGGACGGACCGTCCATAGCGCCGGTGAGCTATTCTCTAACTATCTCCCGGAGTCAGGGTGGCTGCAATTTTTTTTTGCGCTGCCCTGGATTGGCCGGACTGACAAAAATGTAAAAAATCAAAAAAATAATAATTCCCGAAATCCGAGGAGAAAAATAGGGGTAGCTCTTTTTTTTTTTTGTTCCTAAGACTGGACGTTTGAAATTCTCGCCGACTTGCCTGGCGGCGCAATGTTTGCCCCCCCCTAAACTCAAATCCTAGATCCGCCACTGGACAAAGCAAGCAAAGCAAAGCATGATGCCCCGCGCGTCCGCCCGCGACCACGCCCCGCGTCCGACTCCCGACCGCCGCGTGACCCGAGGCGCCCGGCGGTCACGTGACCTACCGGCCGGGACTGCAAACGGCCTTCACCACCATTCTTGTATGACGTCATATCCTACTGAGGTGCTGATTGGTCGGAATTAGATACCTGAAGGTAATTATCTGCCGTAGTTATTTTTGTTTCATTGTTTTGCGTGTTTTCTTATATGAAATGTAATTAAAAAATTTGTCATATTTTAATCACCATTAAAACATAACTGAATAGGTATAAAAGAGAACTCGATATATACTTTCCTTGTTTTTAAGAATTCCGGAATTAGATACCCGAGGGAGCAAAGAGGGAGCAAGTTGCCACGCTGATTTAATACCTCATAGTCGAAAGGTGGGCTACTAGAACCAAAAATTGCTGTGTTTGTAAATAAATAAGTGATTTGAGGGCAAAAAATGCCCGGATTTAAACTTCTAAAATTATTTTGAACATAAAATATTTCAGTTTGAGGGATGTTAAGGCCTCTAAGGGTAGGTACTTTTTAGGTATCAAATAAGTTCCTCTGCGAAAGTTCCGTCGTGAAAACGGCCATTATCAAGTTATTTGATCTGTTTCAATAAGAAACATACCACTGTATGACAATGCATGCCAAACTGTCCTAAAATGCGTTCGAGATTTTAAATGCCATAACCGATAAAGTTCCATGCGAATCAATCGCATAAAAGCTCGTGTTTAGAGTGCATTTTCCGTACACGTATTATAGGAATGCATCAAAATAGTCGTTCCGCTGCACTCAATCCCATCCCACATTGTGTTGTAGGCTTTAAATACCCGGATAAATTGGCGCTTAGGCAAAGTTTTAGCCCATTTCAGCAGATGTTCTGACGCCATTATGTTTAATCGACGGTGAATAAAGCTGCTCATGGACTAAGTTGGGTAGTAACTTGTTACGATCCCCTGGATTACTAGGAAGTCGACTGACGCCGTTTGTAGCCCGTACTATAATTTTTGCGAATGTATCGCTAAAGTACCTACGTAACCTAGCATTTTATAGCCAATTCGATGAACCACAAGCTGTTTTATACCATAATCTGGCAGCGACTTTTCATGGGTCACTCGGAATGAGAGGACACCAATTGAAACTCTGAATGAGCGTCCACTGCCACACCTCAGTCGGTCGGCTCTTTCAGTCAGTCGACCCCCTCCCTTGACCACTGCACCCGCCCGCTCCGTACCTGCAATCTGCTGGTGATGAGCGCCGTCAGGCTGATCCTGCTGTTCACCCAGACGTCGTACAGCAGACAGAGGGGCAGCGCCGCGATACCCTGCTCCTTACAGAGCACGGCCAGCACGGCAGAGCCGAGCGCGGCGGCCAGCCACCGCCGCTCGGGGGAGCCCCAGCCGCCGGCCGCGCGCCGGGCCCGCGCCTGCCGTGCGTAGCTGAGCAGCGAGCAGAGGGTGAAGAGGAGCGCCAGCAGGTCTGCGCGGCCCACCAGACCGGCCACTGCCTCGGCATGTACCGGGTGGACGGCGAACAGGGCGCCGGAGAGGAGCGCCGCGCGCCGGCCGGCCGACAGCCCGGCGGCCGTCTCGGCTACCAGCGCGCTGCACGCCGCGTGCAACAGCACGTTGGTGGCGTGGTAGGCGACCGGCCGCAGGCCCACCAGCGCGTGCGTCACGCGGAACGTGAGCACGGTCAGCGGCCGGTACGAGCCGTGAGAGCCGGCGTGCTCGAGCGGCGTGCCCCAGAAGTCGTGCCGCAGCAGGGCGGTCAGCGGGGTAGTGCCGCGCACGTCGCCGTTTGTGACGATCGCGCGTCTGTGGAGACAAGGGGAGGGAGAGGTAAATGCGGTGTCCGATTGTATGTAGAGCTGCCGAATCGTAAACGTTACACGTTGGCCGTTGGGCTCGGGCATTTCAAGTTGTGTGTTACGGTTTTACATCCTACATGCCCCGGAGACTTATCACTATGTATAGTTGAGGTATTTTGGACGGGAACATCGCAGTTGCTACTGATCTGATGGCCAGTGATAATATTTCGTCTAATTACGACTTAGATTGAGGGCAGTAGGCCATAGAAGGCGACCGAGTACTTATCGCGGGGCTACTAAGTAGTTAAGCACACTGGATTACCATAACGAAGCTCCATTTGACAAAAGCCAGTGTTTACATGTCACGGTAACGACTTAGATAAGACTGCTCTTGGAATTCGATGAATATTTAACCAGCGCCTTGTTGGAAAGCCTATGTTTTCCTGTAATATTTATGACGCTGTAAAAGCATGCTTGAAAAGTGCATTGTGGCTTTGGATGTGGCTCGAAAATACTAATGGTGTCCGAGTTAAGGACTGCATGACATTGCACTTCTGTGGTGCATCGCTCATCCAAAATGCACGCAGCTAATGCTTATTGCGGAACAATATTGAACAGTTCTACTCGATGACGGCCATTTTCATTCCCCGCGTGATGTTTGTACCGTTGAGTTGAATTTCATCATCGAGTCGGCATGCTGAAACGTTTCAATTGATGGCAGGACCTCGGGAATGGACTGCGGCCCGATCGAACGCCGGCCAAGTGACTGGCGTCGGGCCACGCCGCCTATCGGTTATCGATCGTGGCAATGACCATCCACATTGACGCGGGCTGAATTAAGGTGTCAGCTCGCTGCACCATGATTACAGGCGACCGGCCAGAAGACGGCAGGGCCGCCGGTCGAGGTTCGATCCGACGCTTATGCCGTCCGAAGGGTGACATTAGTTATGCACTGGCCTTGCTCAATCAGAAGTTAAGTATCGATTGACGCTGGTACAAATTGATTTATTGTGAAGTGTTGCCAGAGTTGCATTGCATTAAATATGCCGGGCTCGAGCCGTCATGCTCATTTGGCACACATGATAGTTTTTCTGCACATGCATGGTGTTGTGGAGGAATAGCATGCATGACCTGCTCATTACATTTGTTGATGTTTGTACAAGCACCAGAATCTTTGGTTTTACCTATGCATTTATTGGTGGCAAAGTTTCTCCGAGTTCCTCCCTTTCCAATCCTCCATATCCATCCCAAGGCGTCCATCCCAAAGCCGTATGTGAATGGTCTGAAACCGTTTCATTCGCTCATCCTTCTCGATTCGAATAATATATCTGCCGCATCCACTCTGAATGGGGGAGCGTCATCGTGGCTTTAGATCGCTATCCACCAGTGGTGCCAATATCAAGCCAGCGGGTCGAACGTCGGACTTACATTCGGACCGGTGCCGAGTTAACGGCAGATGTGAGCTTTGCGACTGAAAGGCTGGGCCTAGCCTCATCTAAGATCACCCTTTATTTGAAATCTAGCCTGTAGGAAGCGATCGGTGTTTTCATGAGGGAAGCTGTTATTTTTCAGGTCGCGGGACTGTCTTGTGCTGGCTTTCATCATTGGGGTGTTTTTGCATCTCTACAGGCGATCGACCGGCCGCGTTTCTGACCAGTTTCACAATGTGTGCGGGCGCCGGCAGACTGTGACAAACTTGGGGCCGTTCATGGCGCCGATATTCCCTTTTACCGCGTCAGCAGCTGCCTGAAACGGCCGTTCCTTGTGCGGTTGCTATGGCAACCGACGCCAAACAGGCCTGGTATCGTTTCCCACGGGCGGCGCAACGGCTGCAGATCGAAGTGGTGGCGAAATGTGCATAACGGGGGAGGGCGGGACGCTGCCCGGGCCTGCAGCTGCTCCCCTCGCGCGCGGAGGGGACGAGCGGCGCCGCTGAGCCGACGAGCGGCGCCGCGATCCGGCCGGCCGGCCACCGCCGATCGGCTCCTAATCCCTCTGATCACGCTCCACCGGCCAGATATCGACGCCTGATCTCGTGAGCTTCCGCCGCACGTTGACCTGTCTTTCTCCGACTCTGTCTTTCGACTCATCCGACGCTGCCTCTGCTCTGCCCAGCCTGTGCGCCAGTTCTAAGCCTGTTGACTGTCGAGGTCTGGGGTGTGACCTTTCCCATCCGATGTAATAGCTATATAATCTCGGTCATCAAAGAGCCAGCTAACAGCATATGCCACATGATGTCATCTCATACTAAACATCTGCCATCTGAAAGCATGACGAGAACAAACAGCAGCCTTTCCATCGAGCATGCCATCTGCAAACTACCACGCTGCTAGTTTCACAAGCACGATATTTGATCTTTGCCGTATGTTTTCTAAGCAGTTGTTATTCATCCTGCCGCAAGTCATGTTCTGAGTCTAATGGCACTGCGGGCGCCGTGGGAAAGTTTTGTGAGCAGGCTGAAATCAATGTAGCGTAGCATGGCCTGCCTCGGTTCAAATTAGTATTTTCGTTTACAGCTGAATCACTGTTATGCTGCACAGCCAACTACTTGAAACATTATGAACATATGCGCCAAAAACAAGTCTAACCAAGGAGGAAATTGAAGCTGAAATTACAAGCACCAGTCTGAATAACATCTTTCCAGCCACCTTTGATCAAAGTCTGCGAGCTCGATTATGCAGTTCGGAATTGCAAAACAGCCGATTTAATATCACCCACAATCAATCACATTATGCAGGTGACGGAACCATTATTTTCCGTCCAACTTTCCGACGGCTATTTTCTGGCGGCGTGTTCTTGCAGCCGATCCCAGGGAAAGGCGAAGTCTAACCAAGAGACCGCTGCGCGGGGTGCTGTCGAGGTTTGTGTCGGTCACGATTGTCTTTTTGGTGACTTCGATGGGATCTGTGCAATGTGTATATTGTGAACTATGCCGAAATCCCATGTTGCATGATCTCATCCATATTTTCCACGAAAGTTCACGCTTCGATGATTGGACCCCGTTGAGCTGGTTCGACGTTGGACTCTGTGTTGTTGAGCTGGTTGCTGGCTCCCGCTATGCCCTCTAATTGAGCTACAGCACCCACTCTTATTTCGGTCCCCTCTGTCTTTAGCCGTTACCAGCTGTGGCCGTCCACACTGTGCCGCCCCCGCCCCCGCCCCCGCCGCCGCCGCCCACTCCGCCAGGCCGGGTCGCAGCTGGCGGCGGCGGCTGTATGTATCGTTACTGGCCGGCGGCCGCGGCTAATGCGTGGTGCCGTCATTTGCTCATCATTTGTCACCCGGCCGGCATCCCAGTGGCTGGCCGACGCACGATATTCCAGCAGGACAGATGGACCGCCAGCGCTGCCGATAGCAGACAGCATGGGAGGCAACGTCGGCGCAGCGCAGGGGGTCTCCCTGAATGGCCGACACGGCACAGCAGTGCGACCCGTACGCCACAGCCGTACCAAAGTTTTCATGGTGAACATATATTACGCCAAGTGGTGCAAAACGGCAACAGAAGATTACATTATTACCGCCGGCGCTGCCGTGCTGAGGCGATTGCGGGCCGGCTGTTTTTAGAGCTGACCGTTACTGAGCGGTCCGTGCGGGTCGGGGAGGGCTGAGGGATATCACCACGCCGACCGACGGAGCTGAATTATTTACATCGGCGTGTGTTTTGCCGGCGCGCGGAAGAGTTAGCGTTCACCGCCGGGGCGGTGGAGTGGGAAGCAATCTAGCGGCTCCATTGGCGGCTCGATTGTCGGCGCGGCGAACCGCTCCGAATGTCGGCAGGATAACGGATAGGTGTTGGCCGCTTTCAAAACAGCGATCCATTTCGCCGGAGGGCATCGACAGGTCAGAGGTGGGCGGCGACTGGCGCCGGCCGGCCAGTCGGTCGGAAGGAGGGGATGGAGCTGTCCCGGCCCACCGCGCCGACTGAGTAATGTGCCTGAAGGCTGCTCACAACGCCAGTGCCAGCGAGAGCCGCGGTGTGGTGCATGACGTGGTGCGGGTCTGTATAACGCATGAGGCGCCTACATAACGCATGACGTGTCGATGCCGCTCTGTTGAAAAGTGACGCATAATAAAAAGCAGAAGAAAATAATACAGACACGTGTCAGCAACTAAAACGTGAATTTTTGCTTCTGGAGTGGGTAAGGTAGCCTGCAAAATATTTTAAAGGAATTCATGAATAGGTACAGTAAAAGCCCACTTCTAACACATGAAGTTGGCTTATTCAGAACGTATCGCACGCAGATCAAACAATTACATACCATATGTACGGCTCTCGCGAGATTAAGCGGTAGGTTTTGCACTTTTACATTTCCGGTTATATCTCAGAAACTAATCGATCTACGATGAAGCCATTTTACATGATCGTGGCCGGGTTGTGAACCAACAAGTCGATAGCATCTTCAACACTTAAAAGCTTAACCCTCGCCCGCACATGGGGGGGGGGGGGTGGTTGCCACCCCCTCAGGTAGTCTTTCTGCTCTGCACTCAACATTTTTAGAGCTAGAAGGCTGATTTTTCGTATAGCTGCTCCTCTATCCTTTTTTGATGTCCACTGAAAATTTCAAGTTTCTGTGACCTTTGGTTTCGGAGATATGACCTTGTTTTTCAGGTCATGTCATGATCCAAATGGCCAATTCTCGACATCTTGCGTTGGCTATGGGCCTTGTGAGCTTTTGACACCTTGATTTCGGCCTTTTTTACCAGTCTTACCTCCCACCCATCATGGAACATGTTGTTCGACGATGTACAGATGTCAAGGTCAAGGTCAAGGTCAACCTAGGTCATCTAAGATAATTGCGTTTTAGGCAAGCGGAATTTACTTTTTGTGAAGTTTTTTGACTGCATTTTTGGTAAAAGCTTCTCAGATCATGATTTCATGTAATATGGACACATAAACAATCGGTGCACACATCAGTATACACACAGACACACACAGACATACAAACACATATAATTGACCTTGACCTAACTTGACCTGAAATGACCTCAGCAGCAAAAACCTGGTCG